AGTTAAGATAAAAAAATTACAATAAATACAATGCCTGTAGATTGAAGCAAAAATAATATTTACTATTATTATTTTACGCCAAACACACCGCAAGACTCGTCTACGACAACTTGGAATCTGTGGTTTTAAGATACTACATGCAATGGCGCAGTTAGAAGGGCATTTAGGGGCGCGTGCCCTCCATTAGATTGCGAGGGGAAACAGAAGGAGAAAAAGGAGACAAAAAGAGAAAGAAAGGTATATTAGAAAGGCAACGTGAAATAAGATGATTCGCCCCTTCACACCTTTGATAGCTTTTATTCTCAAGTATTTCATCCATTTAGTAAAACCGCCCCCCCCCCAACACACATGACACCAGTGTTCCACACTGGTTTGAGACCCGCTACGCTTCTGGCAACAATAACCATCTTAACAAGTATACTACCAAAAATCAGAAAATCAGTTAATATGTTAAATGACTAAAATACGAATTAAAATGAAAAGTTTTCGATCTTATTTAGAACAGACTGAATCAAGGCGAGCTCGTTTAAGATAAATTTAATATTTAAAAAATGGATATATATTTAATGTGAATGAGACACTGGAATATTACTAAAAGCCACTGAGGCCCATTAGGAGACAAATCATCTAATAAGTTCATCTGAACACAACAGGGTAGATCTGTCTCAACTGGCTCTTGATTCTTGTTCAGACTAGGGGCATCAGATATATTATGATTGTCGGTAAATTAATCTCCAAAGGGATAGAGAGTGAGGGGATCCATGATCTCAGGCGCTCACATCAGACATTGAATAAACTAATACGGACTATTATTGATTTCTAACACCATTATTAGGTGGGTTTAAGTAAACATATGAAAATTAATGAGCGTCTGCAGAGCCCAAAGCATATTTGAATCGGATATCTATTCGTATGAATGTTTAATCACAATCCATTAATTACGCAAAGAGCTCCCCATTTTTTTATTTTCAGGTTTATTCCGAGTAATAATCCCTTTGCAGTGGCGTATCCAGAAATCTGGAAATTGGTAGAAAGGGGATAGAAGTAACTCCCTTTGTGCTGGAGACCAACTTCGAGCTCTCTTTTCCTTAATGTTCTAGCGAGGAGGGTTTGTGTGTGAGTGTGTGTGTGTGTGTGTGTGTGTGTGCGCGTGTGTGTGCGTATGTTTGTTTGTGTGTTTGTTTGTTGGGGGGGGGGGGGTAGATGGGGGAGGCAGCTAACATTTTCTTCATTCTGGCGTTTGTAATATTTTTGTCATCCTTCAATGTATATATATATCAATGCAAAAGAAACAAAAAAACGGAACAAAACAAAAACAACAACAGCAACAACTGTATTACTACTACTACTATTACTTCTACTACTACTACTACTACTACTACTACTACTACTACTACTACTACTACTACTACTTCTACTACTACTACTACTACTACTACTACTACTACTACTACTACTACTACTACTTCTACTACTCTTACTACAACAACAACTACTACTACTACTACCACTACTACTACTACCACTACTACTGTCACTACTACTACTACTACTACTACTACTACTACTACTACTACTACTACTACTACTACTACTACTACCACCACTACTACTGTCACTACCACTACTACTACTACTACTACTACTACTACTACAACTACTAATACTACTTCTACTACTACTACTACTACTACT